TATGGCAATGTATTCACACCTGGGTTAAAGATGTTTAAAAGCACTTTCAGCTAGGAATCAGATGTTTGCCTCTCACTGCCACCTACCGGCTAGGAAAAAAACTCAGGCCAAAATCTCAGTTTTCATTTGGGTTTAAATGAAGTCCAGCTATAGAGCAGACATCATTATCTGTTGCAAAGACACTCAGAGGCCTTAATTAGTGTCTAATGAGTGCCCTGTTGTGCTAGATACCACACAGACTTATGAAAAGACACATTCCCTGCCCCACAGCACTGAGGGGCAGTCAGGACAAAATACCAGCAAATCGGAGGGGCATGGGAGTACTTCGGCATGCTCCAGTCTCGGGCTGGAACCACGGATCGGAGTCCAAGCAAGTTTTACGGTCCAAGTCAGAAGGCAAAGTCCAAACCAAGCCAAGATCAGACAAGGAATGGTCATGGCAGCTATAAGAAATACACACTGTTGCCTGGACATGGCCTGGAAGACTCATTAGGTTTACAGGGAGTTAGGCCGCAATGGGCTGTAACTGTCAGTAGTTGCTGTGGAAATGTGAGCATGTCTCCCTCAGGCTGGGGCTTTTTTTACTCGGGCAGGTTTGAAAATTGGACTTTGCCTTTTCTAGACTCGAATCCATTCAAATCTTTCTTTCCGGGCCCCCTGCATCCTGACCTGCCTTCCATCTCTCCAACCCATCAGCGATATCACTGCCTAACTCTTGCACCTCTCAGGCTGCTCCGACAAGCCTCGACCACTCTTGGAGCCTCTGTGCTGGCTCTACAGCTCCTTTCCAGATCCCTGGTTTTCTCATAAAACTTGGTGCATCCTGCGCATCCCCCGTCTCACCCTCTGAGGCCCAGCGTTTTGTTAATTCTGCCCCCTTTGCACCTTTTCCAATGCTTTCTCCTCACACATGCACACCGACGCCTTCTCCCATCCTCTCCCGACTGATGCACAGATCCGAGGAGGATTTTCTCGACAACGTGCACTCTTCCCCTTTCCTTCAAAGGACACTGTGAGCTCCCCGCCCCCTCCCCACACACACAACTTCCTCAGCAATGACCCGCAACTCACATGCCAACTCAACACAAGTTAAAGGGAAGCAAATAAGGAACTATCGCACGGGGCACTTCACCCACACAACCAAGGCAATCTGGTAAACATCCCTCTTGTCTGATGCCGTGTCATTGTCAAACCTGACTCTGGGCCTTTCTGCTCACATTGCTGTTAAAAGGACCAGGGTGGGCCTAGCAGATTGTAAACCTCCTAGGGCAGATTCCTAGAGCTGGATTCTCTGGTTTTCAGAGGTAAAACTATCAACTGTCACTCCATCGACTGTAAACATCCCCCTGTGTGGTCAGGTGCACAGTGAGTCAAGCAGAATTAGCACCTGATTGTGATGACTCAGGCAGCAACATGGGATCCTTTGGGCGGATTTTGGGAATCCACAAAAGACTCTGCAAGGATGGGGTTAGGATTCTGGGCTGGGGTTAAAACGATTGGGCCAGAGGGACTCGAGGAATTCTGCTGTATAAGGTGATGGACATGCAATGCGGCGCTTTGTGAGTCATGAGATGGGAACGGAATAAGTACCTGGAATGAGTCAGGAAGAGGTGCTATTTCAGGTGCTACATACAAGAATTAGCTGGCCCCAACCCAAGGATTTGGCAGACGTGTGTATGGGAAATATGGGCTCAAGAGCTTCTCAGAGTGGTGAAGAAGAGATGCTATTTCAGGTGCTACATACAAGAACTAGCTGGCCCCAACCCAAAGATTTGGCAGACGTGTGTATGGGAAATGTGGGCTCAAGAGCTTCTCAGAGTGGTGATACACGTTCTAATAGAGGTGATTTTTTTCTGATCTCTTGTTTTGATCTGTTCAAGGTGTCTCTGGCCTGGGAGAGAAATCCAGGATCCAGCATAATAGAGGTGATTTCTTTCTGGTCTCTTGTTTTGATCTGTTCAAGGCATCTCCGGCCTGGGAGAGAAATCCAGGATCCAGCCCTGCAGCAGGAAAATCAGCACTGTGGCTTCGTTTCGCAATCCATCTGACAGGCTTTGAGAATGCAGCATGCTGGGGCCTATTAAAGCATCGGGGCCCTGATTCTGATCCCATCCACGCTACAACAAAACTTCCCGCAGCGTGCTGGGGCCTATTAAAGCACCAGGACCCTGATTCTGATCCCATCCACGCTACAACAAAACTTCCCTGATCGCATTGACAGCGAGAGGCTGAGACACCACGCAGGCCTTTGCGAAAAGGAGTCAAAAGGGATTTCAAGTGGCGCATGAGCCTGGAGCTGAATTTCACCGAGTAGG